GGGGCAGACCCAGGACACGCTGGAGAGATTATATCTCTCGGCTGGCCTGGGAACGCCTTGGTGTTCCCCCGGATAAGCTGGAGGAGGTGGCTGGGGAGAGGGAGGTCTGGGCCTCTTTGCTTAGGCTGCTGCCCCCGCGACCCGGTCTCGGATAAAGCGGATGAAGATGGATGGATGTTCTGATGTTTAATAGATGACTGTGTTTAAGTGCACACTGACTGTTTTCTGGCTTCTTACATCTTAAGTTACAATGTGTATATTTCTTACTACAATACAGCATCTTTATGAAATTGGTAAGAACAACAGCTGCTTTAGTTTTAGGTTCCAAAGCCTTCTTGGAGACTATATATGAATTGTGGTCAGGAAGTTCCAGGAACAGCCTTTAAAATAATCAAAAGCATGACCTGAATAAAAGTAAAGACCTTCTTCTTCTTCACCTCCTCACAATTTTCAGTACAGCTGTGGTTTTATCTCTGTGTACAAGTCTCATCATGCTCAGTTGTCCGTGTCTCTGATGACTGCTCGATGTTCTACGGTCTGTCAAAACTGTTATTCCTGAGCTTGCACTTCATTTTCAGGAAGTATTAGAAAGAATGACCTAAAAACAGCTGATGATGGAGTTATCTGAACATATACAAACGTCCTCAACATAATCAGTACCATGGCTCGCTAGTGTTAATGCTTTATACTGTGGACGCTGTCCCTTTCCTATTGGTGGAAAAATGCACCACGTCACGAAGCATTTGGTTACTGAGAAAAAGGGAGAAGTTGTGGGAGCGATGGCAAAAGTAAGAGTGGCAATATCAGCAGCAAGTTTTGAGATTTTAGAAATTTAAGACATTTGGCACGTTTGGAATGTTGTGTAGTCATTTTTGTGTGTCAACACAATAATACGACAAAAGCAGACTGCAGTGTAAACGCTTCCTTCAGGTAGACACAGGAGTGATACGCCCTCGTGTTTGTCAGACATGTGATGTGCTTCTGTCTTGACAGGAGCGATTCCTGATTGATCTGCAAATAGTTGTGCAAAAACCACAGAGGCTGCATCTTAATGTAAACAGTTTTTAAAGGTGAAATAGTCAAAATGGTCAGTTATACCCTTGACCCCACATTGTCTGGATGGTAGTATCTGTATATACCCGTACATACTTTTCATCACTGATTAATAGAGAATAACTTTACCTCCATTTAAGAGATGCAGGCTTTTGAACTGAGCACAAATAACAAGCTAGCTGGTGTCTTTCCTGTTTAGTCCGGACGACGCTGCAGCCGCGTTTGTCAGTAAGAACATCAAATTTCATTTTGGCTGACCTCAGAACAGTTTCCAACTTTGCCTCAGTCCATTTTAAATGAACTTTGGTCCAGACAAGACAGCAGAGTGTCTGCTACTACTTCTACGACTACTTCTGAAATGCAATTCAATATTGAGTTTCTACCTTGACCCTTGCACACAGAGATTTCTCCAGAGTCTTTGAATCTTTTGACATCATCACTGTAGATTATGAAGACTTTGATAGCACTATATGTGTGTGTGTGTGTGTGTGTGTGTGTGCTGCATTTGCTCGTCATGTGAGCTCATATACAAGCTGAAGCAGAAAAAGTTGTGACACCTGTTATCCTGTTATCTCTGACTCGAGCGTCAGGTTTTGTCAAACCAGTTAATTCAAAGAAGCCTTGCATGTGTTCTCAGAATGAAAGATGTGTATAATAACTATTGTAATAAACTCAGTTTGGGTTTATGCATATAACATTAAATTACATCAACGACCACATAAAGAGGCTTTATGCTGTTAGGTAAAGACCCAACAGGAGAAAACTAATCAATCACACAGTCTGAGAAAGCACTCTGACCTGTCCTCCAGCAGAGCCAGGCCCAGGGAAGGGCAGCTATCTGCCACGACCATGGAGGGATGAAGAGGTTGAACTGGCATTAGTTTGTTGAGTTTGTATGCTTGACTCTGTGTCTGGAGTTTTTTGTTTTTGGCGGGTTTTTAATGTGTAGTTAAAAGATTTTGGATCTTTCATGCATATAAAATATTTAAACGATAATGTCAAAAATCAAGCCTGTATTACTTTAATATAAGCAAAGGCATGAATCAACTACACATAAAGAACGTTGCATCCTGATGTGATTAAGTGTGTGTCTGTTTTGTAGAGCACCTACGACCGTTGTCCTCTGGAACTGGTCCGCTGCATTAAACACATCCTGCAGTCAGAGCAGAGGCTCGTTCAAGAAGCTACAAATGTAAGTCGAAGAAATTGCTGCGTTAATACTGCAGGAATCAGGGTTGTGGGTAGGTTAGGAACCATACATAACAGCTACAGCTTTTGTCTATCTGGCCTGTTGCAGCTTGCTAGGCTGCATATACCAACAACTCGGAGCACAAGAAGAAACAAGTCCTCCTGAGTAGTAAGAGGATACGTATCCCCATTTGTTCTAGATATAGGGGCAGGTTGATAACCACGGTGGAGCCCAGAGGGAGCAGGAGGACGGGAGAAGCTCACAGTCTGGAGTGCCTAACCTCAGTCTTTAAACCAGCATTTTTGAAGTTACCAGGTTAATGCACAGTTCAGTTGCCAACTAATAATATGTGAAAGCGCTTCTCGCTTTGTTTTGGTCATCAGTATGTTCAAGATGGAAATCACGGCAAAAGACAGAGCAGAATGATACATGTGCAGACAGTTTGACTATGATATGAAAACTTGACAGTCCAGGGGTTGATTGATCCGATTAAAAAGGTGTTTTCAGTTTGAAGCATACGTCCCCAAACAAAAATACAGCGGAGGACAGAGTGCAGAAACATCTGTATGTGCACTTACTCTGCAGGAGTAACATTAAGCTAATATGTAGAGCAATAAACAATAGCATCATACTGACTGCATTATATTTCATGCAAAATAAATAAATAGCAAATTTATGGGGAAAGGTTTGTAGTTGGTACATACAGTTTCACCAGAAAGCACGCCATCCCACATCCTACTCACCCCACTCAATGTGTCTTCCTTGCAGGTGTTCATATTCAGTTGCCTCTAGTTATTGTCGTACACAGAAGGTGTAAATAAGAGTTTTGGGAGCAGATTTTTGTCCTGATTTTGTTTTAAGCCTTCATCATCTGTTTGGTGTCTAGGCCAGCAGTGGAAGTGGGAGCCAGGCCATGGACACGCTATCACAGCGCCACCAGCAGATCAACCAGGCCTTTGAGGAGCTCCGACTAGCCACACAGGAAACTGAGAATGAACTGAGAAAGCTGCAGCAGAGCCAGGAGTACTTCATCATCCAGTACCAGGAGAACATGCGCATTCAAGGTAAGGAGGAGAGAGAGAGAAACACAAGTGGTAAGAATGTAGAAGCAAATAAGCCCACCAGTAGAACTGGAACCATTTTAGATTTGAATCTATTCTTTAAATTCTGCTGGTTTTCCCACCAGAACACAACAACCTGTAACTGTTTGCATCACACTCGGAGCTCTTTCTCCCTATCCCTGTCTCTCTCTCTTTAGACAATATGCACAAAAAGTTAATTTACTGAAGACTAAAGAAAACTGCAACCACATTGCTCAATCAAACATAAACAGCATATCAGATGTTTAAATGGAGAAAATGTGTAATTAAAACAAAATATCAGTTCATTTTAATTAGACTCTTTGGACTTGAACCTAACCTGCTCCGGAGCAGCTATGACCTTCACTGGACCATCGCTCTGACCTCCGTGAATAACAGGAGGGCCCAAAGTCTGTCTTTCACATCAGTGATAAATTTTGTTATTCTAGTTCTAAAATTTAATATATGATCCTAAAACAGGACACCTACAGTGTACTGCTGACCTCATATTAAATTTTTGCTAAGCTGAAATTCTTAAAAGTTGAGAGAATCAGAATCAGATCTTTGAAGCTCCACGCCAAAAAACCTGTCAAAAATAGTCCTCAGTGTAAAATTGTAAAGACTTTCATATCTCATCATCTACAGTAGGGCTGTCAGGATTTACACTGAGAGCCACATACAGCTCGATTTGATCTGAAGCGGGCCGGACTCGTGACTCTGTTTTCTGTCAGTGTAAAGAAGTCACATATTTAACGGTTTTTCTACATGATGAAGGTAAATCTGCTGTGACAAAGAAGGAAATCTGTCAGCACGACTCTTTGGACTGTACGAAATAAACGTGTAAAATTACAGAAAATGTTCCGGTAGCCCATTGACTGTCCAGTTTTTTTGTTTTTGTAGTTGTAAAAAAACTGAAATCTCAATAGAAACTTTTCTCTTTTTCACAAAGTTACATTGTTTTTATTAGAGACAGAGCTAAGTGTTGCAATTTGGCATTATTTTGTGAAAGTTGAAATTTCTTCGGTGTTGAATAGCAGAAATTAGCCTTTCTTGTCAGAGGTACCGTATTTTTTTGGACCATAAGGTGCATAAAGCAAAACAAAACAGTCAGATAAGTCAAACTTTCCCCAACTCATTCTTCGTGCTTCCTCCATTTCTGTACCACTGATTCATTAACGCTGTATTCTATCACAGCTGCTCTATTCCCATGTTGTTGCAGTATATGAATGACTAACTTCGTA